AAACGTTTGATGCGTTTTCAGAGGGAAACCTCTGTTTTCAAATTCCTCCAGCGTAGTGTGGACGGAAAACGTTTGATGCGTTTTCAGAGGGAAACCTCGATTTTCAAATTTCTCCGGTGCAGTGTGGACGGGACCTTGATGTTTTCTGATCGGTGTAACGGCTCCTAAATGCACGCGCAAATGACGATCGAATTTACTAGGGACAGGCAACCTGAACGGTATGATAATGGCAACCCTTTTCCACCAGAAATAAACAAGCTTGTATAACTGGCGTGTTACTCTCTGATTCTAACCTGGAGTTAGCTTTCCTTTTCCCCTGATAAAAGTTACTTTTGGCCAACCGAAAATGTTTTGGCCGTATCTTAGATTAAAAAAAAAATGAAAACAAAATTGTGTTCAGTCTTTTGATTATCCTTGCACATTTTAAATTCATTCTCAGCCTAAATCTAGAAAAAAAAATCCCGAAGAGATCATTTTTGCTTTGCGCGAATTTCGATTTTAAGTAGTGACACTTAGAAATCGTCATTTGCGAGAACGTGAACTGTTTTTTACTTTCCTGGGGTGAATGGACGCGAAGGTACTTAAAATAATAAGTAATCTATACTCATTACATATAAAGGTTCCTTTTGATGATTTATTTGGAAATATGAACGCAATTTCCGAAATCCACCTTGGCTCACGCTTCGTATCTATTACCCCCTCGTATCTCTTGCCCCGCTCGGGGCGGGGGCACTCTGTAAAGTTCTACCCGCTTTTCGCTTACAACGAACGGACAAATAGCAGGGCAGTGCTGGAGCGCAACCTGTTGCGCTCCAACAGAGGAGGAAAGCCTTGGCCCTAGGGACGTTGTAGATTTCTCATTCCAGACATTTCCGGTGGCCAATGGAACAGCATTTCCCACAATTTCTGGAAAAGACGATAATCCCGGTGGGTTTACCCAAATTCTCGAAACTTCGTTACTGGAAATGTAGGCCCACTTGAACTACGGAACTAGGTTTGCCAAACTATTATGGACATCGTTTTAATTGATGTTTTTCGAGTATTGGACAGATGTATTCGTAGGATTGTCCGCCAGTTCCGCTGTGCTCCGTGTAGCGATCCGATTTAAAGACAAGGATTAATGATATTTGTAAGTAAAAATTCATTTTTTTAAAATTTTCATACACTAGAACCCCAGTCCAAAGTTATCAAAGTCCCGGAAATGTTCAGTAAAATACTGTAAATAGAACCTCTGCCCCCTTTGGTCTTTCCGATGAGCGAGTTCTCTGGAGTCCTTCCCCCTTAAAGCGGCCACCCAAAATTTACCACACGTAGTTTACCTTTGATTTGGAAAAGACGATGGTAGATAAGAGTCCGAAAAAGAATTTGACGACTGATAAAAACATTCAAACACACGTTCATTATGATTGTCTTGACATGATTCACTATGTTCACTAAGCAATTGACCCAATCAAAAAAAAAAAAAAAAAAAAATCAGAGTACACGAACCTCTATTAAGCGACTACCTCCCTGTTCCACGAGGGTGGCTGCTTAATAGAAGTTCATCTGTATTTAATTTAATCATTTGTGTAGTTTCAATTTTCCTCGAAGATAATTAGCTCCATGTAGCTAGGTAAGTATGTTACCCTGTAAATCCAAGTAAAGGTTGATTTATGCTTCCATGTCTGTGTAATCCCATCTCACCTAAAGGGCCAAAAGTGCAACCTGCCAGGGGGGGTCTCACTTCGGGTGTTCAGGACGGAAATGCCACTATTTTTAGTTGTCAAAGCATCTTTCAGAGTGCACTCTCATTTCCGTTTTTAGGCTTGATTTCCGCCGCTCTCTCGAGTACAGTCAACTAACCTGGGCTCCTTTCCTGAACAACGGCTGGTAATCAAGTCTGTAGCCTCTTTTATGGAACAAAGCTCAAACAATACCCAGATTAGTTGCCTTTAGAGGTTTAATTCAAATTGTATGACGAGCACCCCTGATCTTTCCATATGGAAATCCCCCTCCCCGGGGTGGAACCCCATCAAACTAGAGTAACCTAGAATCAGATACGACATACTCCATTAAAAGGAACATTCATCAACTGCATTTGTTTAGTAAGTTTAATTTCTGAATACTCAAAACCAGTAACTTAATAAGCAGTTGCCATTTAGGTTTGTCTAAAATTCTTTTACTGTTTTGAATGTCGATAGTCAATTTTTCCAACAGAGTAGCAACGGCAAGAAGTCAATCTTTTGCACAGAAACAGTCAAAATAGAACTTTCCCGAGCAGCAACTCTCACTGGCTTCCTTTTTGTGCGTAAAAAATAACCAACAAACAATCACACAGTCAACAAGGTTTTCCATTATGTTGTTATTAGCATGAAATTTCTTGGCTGAAAGATCTCTCTCACTCGAGGCTGGATAGGCATGCAAAAGAAGTTTGTTCTCTCAAGCTTTTCGGAATTGTCCCTGTTCAGTAACACTTTTGCAAGCACACAACCATGCCACATTAAGCTATCTTATAGTACAAGGCAAACAATAATTGCTTGATTGCTGTAAAACACTTCAGTCCTTGATTCTTATCTAATCCATACATGGCTAAAATAATCAGGTCTCTCTGCAGTGAATACAAAATCACAGCTGTAGTGTTAAGCATGGTGGTGCAGCGACAGCCTGAACATGTCGTTGAGAACACAATATGAGGCCAGTTGTTCATTGTACATCAGGAGAAAACACTGACTGAAGCTATGAGGAGGATCATTGTCTGTCTAGATAACCAAACAAACATAAGACATTAGATTAACTTATTTAGGCCTGGTACATCTGTTATCCTTCTGTTTAATGGGTGTGGCCTGGATGATTAACAATATAAATTAGTGGGATGTATAATTAGGGGTGGGGTGGGGGGGGGGGGAATGAGCTATGGGGGGAGTATATTGATGGAAGTCTTGAGTGTAAGTTGACTTTAGGGTTATCATGTTATTAAAAGACACAATAATGTACACTCATTCCAAAGAGCCTTTATGAGCTATGCCATGCAAGTCATTTTTCTACAGAAAACAAGATCATTCATTTAAAAGAAAGCTTGAACATAAGAGCTTCCTAACGTAGTCCTGAAGACACCAGAGAAATTATAAAGACATTTACTACAAGGATCTGACTGAGGAATATTATGATGGACCATCAATGGGCAATATTCATATTCTTGGTATTAGACTGGAACTAGCTTGAAGCTGGGACTAATGCAGGGAGTCTTTTCATACACAAATGGAATTAAGATGATTTCCGCAGAACATTCGGGTAATAATGGCAAATATAAAGTTACCAAAAAAACCTTATAGCATGGTAATATTTTGAATTAAGGTAAGAAAATCTTATCCAGACTTTAGCTCT